ATCAAATCTAATAAAACAGATAGGTTTCTTTTAATTTCTGCAGCATTATAATTCAATTTGCGATTCGTTATGTCGATTCGTGCTAAGAAACATTAGTAGTCAGGCTAGTTCTTGCATCATCCGCATGACAGATACCTGTTCCTTGGATATAAATAGGAAAACGTTTCCGATATATTTGATTTACCAATGTTCGCCAATGGGCATTTTTACTTTTACGAGCTATTTATATGCACGCTCATAATTAAGTGATCACAACGACTTTCGCGATGTAGGTAGAAATAAATAAATGCGAAACCCATGAACGAACTGCGTCGTAAAAACAAATTTTAAAAATCATTTATTCATAAAATACACTCTCACAAAGAAATAAAAATTATAGATATATTATCTTTTTTCCTTTATTTTGATTGTTGGAAATAGAAAATTTCCGATCAAATTTCCGAATTTCAAAAATTAATTAGTAAAAAACAACGATTAGCAATAATTGGAAAACTAGAAAAAACGTACTTTTTCTTCTCCTCTTACCAGAATAAAGAAATAAAGATTGAAAATGATGAAGAATACGAATATTCTTCATCGCAAAGAAATTTTGGAAGTAAGTATGTCAACGAAAAGTTTCTTCTTTTGTTTAATGTACTTCTTACAACTAAAAGTGATAAGAAAGTAAAACTGCATCGTTTTCAAGGGAAAGAATTGAGAAATATTTATTTATTATTTTTCTTTTATTATTTTTTTCTACTTTTTACTTTTTATCAAGATGAAAAATGAAGTTTAAAAAGAATTCTCAATTATATTGGAAACCATTGCAGCGTTGTCAGAGTTCTGCACGCGGTTCTGGTGGGAGTTTACTCTGGTATAGGATAGTGGCAGTGGTTGTGTCTCCGTCAGGAGTTCACTCCTGTGTAGTGGTGAACGGGAAGTGGGGGACACAGAGGTAGATGCCGGGCATCGCCGCCAAGAAACTGGCTTGAACTGGCGCGAGCCGGCATCTCTGTCTTTCCGCCGACGGCAGTCTCTGGATGGAGGGGAATTGGAGAACCAGCAAAGAGTGAGGGAGAAAGAAGAAGAGAGATACTACGAAAGAGGGAGATATAACGCGTACGCGAATAAATACAGAACGCCTTGTATTGCGCGTAGCTGGTGTTACTTTCGCGTCTTCATCATCCTACTGACTCCATTCAAGCGCATCCACGGGCTTCGTGCGATCGTATCGTCGAACATCGGAATGACAACCACTGCCGTCGTTGAACACGTACTTCTCCTTTGTTTTACGAGCAAACCGATGACCGGCATCACGCGTCGTTCGCACAACTGCCTGCGATATTTACCAATCGGCACCTCGCCGGCGCCGAAAAACTGTATAATTTGCTTCTCTTGACTGGATCGGAAATTGATATCCTACCGAGTTTCGCGTGCGCAACCTTGAAGCGACTCCGCCGGGCATCACTCGGGAAGAAAGCGGCTGAGCTTGCAGTCGCTCAGTTGCATCGTGCGCGCGAGAACCGGTACCAGCGCGAACCGGTAGTTCTTCAACTTGTTTTCGTTCGAGGCGTTTCAGAATAATGTAAAACTCTTGCAGAGAAAGATTGGGTTTCTTCAGCGATTTTATCTGCGAGTCGGTTTTCTTAATGCTCGTGCTGCATTCAGTGCTTCAATCCGGAGAGAATTAATTATTTCCAGACTGAAAGACGATAGAGGTGCATTAATTAAAGGTGAAGAGAAAAGAGTTCGTACTGGAGCTTGTTGTATCCGGATCTAAGTTTCTTCACAGTGTCTTCCGTGTGTCTTGATTATTCGCTTGACAAATTTGTGTAAGGCTTGATAATTCCTGTTTGAACAAGTTACCTTATTTAACGCATCAAATCAAGTGAGAAGAGAAGAGTGCGTCAAAGTTATGTTTGAGATAACCGAATTAATCTTTGTCCGGTATATTCTGATATGCGACAAAGTTCTGGTGAGTGAATCCATTTAAACGAGAAGCGAATCGATCGTAAGCACAAATAACGCGCTCGACGAGGGACTGTCATCAATCGAAGCAGTTTATTCTCGCGTTGTTAATGCATCCGAATCCGAATTGTATTGTGATCGAGGGCGACTTAGTATTACGTTGTCTTTTAAACAAGTAGAGCTACTTCCCTGTCCCATTCGTAGTGTTTTCTTTCTTTTTGCAAGGAGCTAAGTGTAACGCAATCAATCAACTATTAGTCATGCAATAAAACTACTGACGAGATCATTTGTGACAGATAGCTTATGACAGCTCGTGGCCGTGTTTAATAATAACCACGAGTGATGCATCGAGCGGTCTTTTTCAAACGATAGTGATCTCCTCCGAGTGCAGTTAAACCGAGATCTGCGAGTCGATACATCGTGAACGAATATCGTTCAGGAATGCACCCGTTCGTCGTAACAGACAATCGACTTCCGACAAAGTGTACGCGAGTTTCGCACGCACTTTTAGTTGCGTTGATCGATAATCTGAGCTTCGTGATAATACGCGATATCCTGGCCATCTACGTACTCCTGTCGCGGCAGGATTATCTCCTCAGATGACGAGCAGCTTTACCGCCGAAAAGCTGATGCCAGGGCGGTTAAATTGAGTTTTATAACCAAGGCATGTCCTGTTCTCCTTGACTGATAGGGATTGAAAACTGTCAAGTAGAAATCAAATTAAGGGAAAATAAACACAGGAGAAGTTGAGGAGAGATTTCAATGGAATAAAAATTTTTCTGAATCAGAAAAGAATATCCAATTTCAAGAAAGCTTAATTAGATTTTATGAAATCTATCTAGCTTTAAAAGAAGAAAATAATATATTGCAGCCACTTACAAAGATTATTTATCAAGAAGTGTCAATGAGATTAATTACGCAGTTTGAAATGAATAAATTGATTCTGGGAGTGAGTTCATCTTATAATCGAAACATTTATTTCTCCGTGCTACAACAGTAGAAGAAAAAAATGTATAACTTCGAAGTGCGTGAAGAGAATTTTCTGAAGAAGAAGTAAGGTGGATATATTTCACGTATTGAAACGTTTCACAAAGCAATAGAAAACTGCGCGCTCTGACACACATGTGATACTATAATTAGGCCCGATATAAAGTGGCAGCATGCATGTCAAGAGGATAACTATTATAGGCTCGGTGACTCTCGCAGATACAAAGTTCATTCCTTTTATAGAGGTGCATCGGATAAGTGGATGGCAAACAACGGAGCTCGAACGACTTTCGAGACGGTGAAGAAGTGCAAACCGGTTGTGCATGATCGACTGAAAAGATTCTCGGACTTCTCTCGAATCGTTCGGAGGCTCTGGATCACATTATCGGCGCGTGTGCTTGCTTGAGTACACGTGACGTGAGACTTGTGAAATAGAGGGAAAAAGGAAAAACGATACGACACGCCGATCACGCGACTCTGTGAGATTTCAACTCGAGGGAGCCACGCGCGAAGATCAGAATTTCGAGAGTTCGCCGGCAGACGAACGTCGCGGGCGACTAGCAGTATCCGGTTCGCGGCAGACAAATGCAATCCGACTGACTTGAACTGATCCTATCTGCCGCGCCAAGCCGAGGCAGAACGCTCTAGTACTCGAATTTACCGAGTAGCTTTTCAGTTATTGAGTGGCGAACACGCCACACCGCGCCATCGACTTAGCAAACGATTCGCGTTGTATTTTGAATACGATACAGCCGTGCGATGTGGATAGTCGGCTGTCGAAGGGATTGATCATCATTCGATCAAGTCGACAATACGATCGAGTGATTCGAGAAAGGCATCTCGATATAACATCGCCTACGAATGGATGGAAAGACGCTTGGAGAACGGTCGGACGTTCGAGCGTGCGGGTATACCACGTTTATGAATGAGCGCGTGAAGAGTCGAAAGAAGGCCTTCAAAGAGAAAAAGAACCTGCCGTAAGAGAATTTCTTTTGGTCCAGTCACCGTAACGAGAGAGCACTCGTCATGTCGAGGAATTACTGGGACCTGAGAAGTTGCTGGTCCATCAGGCGGCCGCGTTATCCGTTCGATCAATTGGTCACGTGGCTTCTGGAGCACGAGGTGATCGTGAGTGGTGGCCCGCCGCATGTACAGGTCGTGGCTAAATTCGTTCATGCTGTATTGAATGCACGAATGAAGAAAAGATACGTTATACGAGGAGGATTGGTCAGCCTGCGAATAAGAAAACTTTGCGACATAAAGAAAGTCAACGGCTGCAAGAAAATCAAACTCGTAGTTCGTCTACATAGACATACTGTGTAAGAATACATTGACGCTTTTCCTTTTTTTTTTTTTTTTTTTTTAAGATATCAGCCTTTTGGTTGCAATCAAAAAATTTTGAGGAATAAAGTGGATAAGGAAACGTTATTTCTTGATATTATACACGAAATGTCAATTAAATTTTCTTTTAAATTTTGCGCAATGGCTAAAGAAGATAGCGTCGCAATAGTTAAGCTACTTTATATTTTTATCATTGTCTGGCGTAGATAACACTACAATTTACATGACATTTAACTAGCAAGAATTGAGACATAGTTTATCAAATTATACATTATAATCATCAAAGTTATATGCTTGTCCAATACAATAATAATTGTAAAATTTGGGGCAATGTGTTCGATAAGAAATTGTGAAATTTTTTTGTTTTATATAAGAAAAGTTTTATTGATCAATCTTGTTGAAGATTAAATAATATATATAACACATTATGCATATTGTTTTATTATTGGCTATCGATTAAATGTTAACATATTTCGAGCATATGTTCGAATATTACTTGCACACTCTGTTTACTATATTTCGATCTTAATATATTATCATAAGTAAAGTTATTTTGATACGAATATACCGACTCTTTTTTAACAGAAGACATATGCCTGGTTTATACCCGTGGCTCGTTCCTTCATAAAATTATTCAGCTGACTGTATAAGTGTCAGCAGTCGAAGATTTATGTTGCATGCACAATTAATAAGACAGATAATCCATGGACGTCAATGTTTTGCAACGTGCCACGAGTAAACGAAATATCGCGCACGCCAGAATTGCGTACCATAAAGTGCGTTTTAACGTTGGAAAAATTTCCATACGGCAAATATCATCTGAGATCATCATAAAAAGGAAATA